GTAGCAATAGCTTATATTTTGGTCGTACGTTTGGTTTCTTTACGTGCCTGTGTAACTGAATGTCGCACGCAGAAGACCCGAGCTCGCTTTCCATGTGGTAAGAATTTTTACTGAGTATTTTCGTCTTTTTGTTGGGACGTTGTGTCACTTACAGCCCTGACAGGCAGGGTCGAAGTCTGCGTCATAAATTATCAAAACTGCGTAGGTGTGTGCGCAAATTCACCTTCATTAAAAAGAAAAGGAATTTTTTTTTTTTTAATGAACGGTTTCGTGATTTATGACGTCTGTCCTCAGCTAGATCAGATTTTCGGTCAAAAGATCAGCATAAAAGGGAGCTCGAGAGAAGATGGTGTCGGTACTGAGAACAGAACCAGATACTACTTAACTCCTGTGTAAGAAAGGATGTGGGGCAAGACTGGCTCAGTGTCAAGTTGTGCCCTTGATGGTAGTACAGAAGATTCTTCGTAAAATTATTGTGAACTTGTCGTCTCGCGGACTTTTATTATGATTACAGATTGATTCGAATTATCAATCTTGGTCTCATCGTGTATGCCAATTTGTACGTGATTGAGTAACATCCATTAGCATCTTTTTGAATAAATTAAATGATGGTTTCTATAACAACTTGTTGGGTTTTTTTTTCGGCACAAGAGTTTGGAGGGGCAGCTGTCTGTATATCCGTACTCCTGTCTATATGACTGTCTGTGCACACACACATACACACACACACACATACACACACACATACACACACACTCACACACACACACACATACACACACACACGCGCACACACACACACACACACACATTCACATGCTTACATAACCCAAACAATATTGCAACACTGTCTTTACATAACATTTAAAACAGCAGAATTTAAATGATAAGGTGAAGAGCTTGTTTCAAATATTAAATAAATTCGCAATTCTGTTAGCACAGAACCTTCTATCCTTCTTTCCACCTCTAAGTCCACCTTGCAGGTCCAGAACACCGAGGTAGCATGTCCCACAGAATAAGACAAATTCTTATTTTACCTTGCGTGCTCTAAGCGAAGGTATAGCCATTTGTCATGGGTCATCCATCAGTGTTTGAAAGACAACCGTACCCAAACCTCTTCGTCAGGAAAAGATAACCTTTATCGAGTTGTCGGAAATCTTTTTTGTCAGAGAATCTGGAGATAATTATCACCCGACGACAGAAGGACGGAGGATTCGGGCACACCTGGGCAAGCACCCGCTTTTTACTAAACCGAATCTTGGGAGAACGTACCCATTTATTTGTAATTAACTGGTTAAACTAGTTCGCACTCAACATTTATTGAAGTACAGCTCAGTTTTTATTTTAAATTATTTATTTTTTTAGCTAGAGTTTTACAGCTCTTGCAACACAAAAAGGTCTGATAAACGTCAAAGATTAGAGGTGTTACAGGAGAGTAACAAGCCCAAAAAGAAGGAGGAGAGATCAGGACGATATAATATGTTTGATAAGAAAGAAGGTGCAAACTGCTACAGAGCACCCGCAAACTACTCGCTTTTTACTTTTAAAAGTATCAGCAATATAGTAAGCTTTTATTATTCATGTATACGAGTATACTGGACAAAACAACCATGTCGTGATACCGATCAAGGAAAAATTTTGACCATTTTGGCAAACGGAGTTAGTTCATCGCACTTTTTTTTCTACAAGCGGAATTAGTTTTTTTATTTCTTGGATTCTGCCAGGGTCTAGTTCCAGGGTTAGGATCTTTCATATTTCTCATAGAATAGTGATCGAAATATATTCATGTAATCCAAGTTAAGGAAAATATAATAATTCATTTACTGAACATATTGGAAAGACGATGTTGTTTACCTTGTGGGGGAGAGATGATGTGAAGTTGGAGGGGGGGGGGGAGGAGAGGGGATCACGGTGTCCTGGTATTGTTAATAAGTACAAAAGTATTTCTTATGAACCATCGTGGTAAGACAAACGATGATGAAGCAGGAACATGTTTAGGACAGAAAGCTCTCCAGATGTAAACGATTATGACTGACATTTTAGACTCAAATCAACGGTAAACATGCTCCCGAAAACTCAATTACCTTTGAGAGTTTCTCCTCAAATTAGCCAAAACGACTTTAAAAAACAGAAAAACGTAAAAAGCATAACTGTAAACTGAAAACGGGAAGAAAAGTAAGTTCCAGCAAAATCTCCTATAAATATTCCTTACTTTATTCTCTTTTGACATTGAAGTATATCCCTAAAAAGATCATGGTTAGTGGGTGGGGTGTCTTCTGGGGTGGTGGTGGTGGTGGTGGTGGTGGTAAAGGAATATTAAAAAAATATGAGCAATCAAAAGCACCCGTGCATTGGAGAAGTGTGTCTAGCCTAAAGGATTTCCCATTCACAGAATGCCCATCATTTTTTTTGATTTTTTTTTTTGTAGATTTGTTTGTGAAAATAGCTTTATTCAATACAAAAAGAACCTACTTATTTGATCGTTATGGAATTCAAGTCTGATCGTACAAAAATGAACACCCCTTTTTCTTCCCAGAACGCCGGTATTTTACAGGCTTATCTTCCTTTTCTCACCGCAGTACGAGAGAGAAAGAGCAGAACACAACACCTGGTTTGCAACACAGAAACCGAAAGCGATACTCAAGTGTGGGAACGAGAGAAGAAAGGATGGGCGGCTTGAACGACGAATCTGCTTGATATTAAGACCAAAATTATGATTATGCACTCGGAAGCGACGCATAATATCTCACGCTTACTGCACCTTGTGGGGTCTCTCGAGGGAGCAGCAGCAGCGCACAGTCCAACAGTTATTTCCATGTTTACAGACCAGGGCCACTCATGAAATTATGAGATTTCATCACTCACGCACCATGGAATGTTATGCAAGTGGGTGTAGTGATCGCGTTGTGTAAGTGCGGAAATGGAATACAGAGAAATGTTTTCTTTTTAGTTTTCCTGGGTTTTTCCCAAATATCTTGTCTGATCCTTTTCCCCTAATTTAATTCTGACGCCCATCGCTCTTTCTTTTTTCTTTTCTTCTTCCCCTTTAGCTTATTCCTGTCTGACTCTGTC